CGCTGCTGAGAATTTTTCTCTGGCCGATATTACGACGGTTTTTGTTTGTATCTAAGACGAACGCTTTACTGGTGTGCGTGAGTTCCAATTTTTATCCACAAACCGGTTACTTGCACTTGTGTGCGTCATCGAGAGTTGATATGGGCATATGTATACTTATACGTATGTAACTGTGAGTGCCTTCTTGTACTTTTAACAGGGAGTTCGTTTTTTACTTTATGTACTTATATATGTATATATACACTACCCCGCGGGCACATGCGTTTGTATATGGTAGTTACATGAATTTTCTTTGAGCTTAGCCTAACTTTCCAACAATGCCGAAACCACCACCATCACTATTATTTCCACCGCAACCATTGTAACCTCCACTACTCTTACAACAATTAAGGTATACGGCACTAAGGCTTTCCTTTTTCTTCCCTCTACGTGTTTTTTTTTTTTGTGTGCAAGTTTTTACTGTGTTTTGCACAGAGTTCCCCTCTTTGAATTTTTAACAAATGCCTCTATATTATTATTGTTTTTTTTTTCTTTCATATTATAATTTTTACTATTTCACCCTTCCCATACTTTTTTAGTTACTTCTTCGCTATTGGGACACATCGCATTCGTGGTGGGTTTATTTGCCCTTTCTCAGCTTACTAACGGTCACTAAAATTACTAAATGTTAATAGGCACACATAGCTTATTCGTGCTGTTGTACTACTTCTTTGACGTAATTACACTTAACTACATTAAGGGAAACTGTGTTGAAAATGGAGGTAGCACGAAACTAAGCTATATGTTCAGGATATCGCGGAGAATCCTTCCAAATTGACCATTGAGTGTCAGTGCTCAAGTTTTCAATTAAACACTCAGAGTAATATTAATCAGAAGTAGTAAACCAAGGATATATGTACATACATAGTTATGCAACCTGTTAGTCACTAGAATGTACTGAACCCAAGACTGCCAACTGCTTTTATTGCTATTTTCGAAATGCTTTCTGATATTGTACTAGAAAGTATTGTTGTACCACAAATTGTGAAGCTATGTTTAAGCAGTTGGTTACACTGTTGAAAAACCTTTCCATCGAATTTGTTTTTGTACCATCAAAAAAACATCTCTGAAGTTACTTGGAAGAATATTGGATACAATTCTGTATAAATTCCGGTTACGTACAAAAATTTGCCGGACTTGACGCAAATCAACTTAAATCGTTCCTATTTTTAAGCGAAATATTTGTTAACCGTTTTATTTGAACATCATACCTGTAGAATATATAAAGGTGCTTGTTGGTTATATTGAATCGACTGCTGTGGAAACAGCCTAAACAAACTGTTTTAAGACCCTTTCATTTTAGCGATATTTCTAAAAGAATCTTATTTCTATATATTTCAATATAGAAAATATGTGCCGCTTCTCCTTGTTTGTATACATATATGTATGTATATAAATGTCCAAATGTTGTTAAACACTAACCTAACGCAACTTAGGGTTGATTTTTGGAACGAAAGCGAGTCGCTGTATGGTCAAAGGGCGCCAGAAATGAGCTCAAACGAATAAAATGCATTCGTACGCTCTACATTTGTGTACAGTTAGACATTACAATTGTACGTGTATGCATGTCGGTAAACTTCGGCATACAACCAGTCCATAAATATCTGCAGTAAATTTTTTAGTATGTGTAAATGTAAAAAATTAGGAAAGAGCTAATAAAGAATAAATCACAGTAGCCCCTTCGGATGCGGCTTAAAACTTAATAGTTTACTTTCTCAGTCAGCATAGTTTAGTATAATAAGTATTTCACTTCAATAGTTTTATAATGATCAGGAATGTTGCTCTCTTTTGATGGTTTCTGATGTATCAATAACTTTTGAGGTGTTTTTTTTTACAAAAAAGTGGCTATTGTTGCACAATTAATTTAAATCGATAAGGACTTTAAATTTATAACATTAAAATATTCTGAGAATATTGACAACAGACCCCGATGAAAATATGTATAATGATCAAGGGTCGATGGCTGATCCAGGGGAGGTAATTGTACTACTATATGTCGTTCTTTGTGAAACTATAAACTTCGCTTTTAAAAGAAAAAAATATGCTTTTAAAAGAAAAAAATATTCCCGAACCAAATCTTAAAAAGCGTTTTCAAATTTGTTTAAGCTCAACAGCAGCAACTTTGGATTCCATTATTTTAATGAAACACATTTTTTACTATACTATTATAACGCCTTGAGGGATGTGAACTCTTTGCTTTCTAAGGGCCTATATGTAGTATCATTATATAATATATATAAAATCTCATGCCATTTGTTGCCTAATTCCTCCAAACTGTTGGTACCGATTTTTATTAAATTTGGTGTGCTCATTGAGTAGATCTCAGAATCGGCCAAAATCTGTTTTTAATATTCCTAAAGGTTAACAGTGGTCCACCCCAAATATTGTTTCCTTTTTTTTACACAATTTTTGCTTTAATTTTGTATGATTCAGTGTTGAAAAATACAGATGATTCTAAATTTTCTCCCTTTTATGATCAAACCCTGATTATTAATCACGAATTTGAAAATGGTTTGTTCCATCCACAAGATGGCAATCGAAAATAATAATTGTAGTATACTATGATTTTATAATTCATTAACTTAAATAAAGTATCCTTTTTTTCTACAACTAAATTAAATCCTCCACCAATGTTTTCTGGGTCAGCTAAAATAAAATCAACCTTGGATTAGTTCTTAAGTATAGTTATTTTGGCGTCTGCGTCAGTTTTATTGTTTCATTATACATTTATGATATATATAATACATGTATTTCTGATTTTTGTTTCCACAATAACAAAAAATAAGAATTCAATATTATGCTTCATTTAACCAAAAACATAATTCGGGGAAGTTGAAAAAAGTTACAGTTCAAAAATGAGTGAAAGTAATGAAGAAATTCGCTATATTTTGAAATTTTTGCAGAAAAAGGAAAGAATGCCACGCAAGCCACCAATGACATTTGTGAAGTTTACGGGGACGATGCTTTATTAGTTCGTGCAGTACAACAATGGCTCGCTCGCTTCCGTTCTGGAAATTTCGATTTGAAAGGTGCACCTCTGCTCTGGTCGACATATCGTTGAAAAAGTCGGTCAAATTATGGAAAATATTGACCAGGACCGTCACATAAGCAGCCATGACATCGCTAAGGAACTTAACATTCATCATCAAACGGTTTTGAAGCATTTAAAAAAGGTTGGCCGCAAAAAAAAACAAATTATGTTTGATACCACATGAATTGTGTGTGAAAAAGTTTAATGGACCGAATTAATATCTGTGATTTGCTGAAACGAAATGAAATCCAATCATTTCTGAAGCGAATGGTAACAGCAGACGAAAAGTGGATCAAATACGACAATAATGTGCGAAAAAGATCATGGTCCAAGCCTGGTGAAGCTCAACAAATGGTCGCAAAGTCAGGATTGACGCCTCGAAAGTTGTTGCTGAGTTTTTGGTGGGATCGGAAAAGAATCATGCACTATGAGCTACTCCAGCCTAGTCGAACGATTGGTTCTATATTTTACTGCAATCGAAAAACAACGACCAGAACTGATCAACAGGAAAGGCTTCGTCTTCCTTCAGGACAACGCTAGACCACACACATCTTTGATGACCGGGCAAAAGCTGGGAGAGCTTGGTTGGGAAGTTTTGATGCATTCACAATATAGCCTTGACCACCATCGGACTAATATTTGCTTCGGTCAATGCAGTTTTTCACCGAGAAACCAGAAAAGTTTTACACTGATGGAATAATACCTCTAGCGGAAAGATGACAAAAAGTGGTCGACCAAAATAATACATAGTTGGTTAATTAAAGTTCATTACAAATATAAAAAAATAAGTTGAAGTTTGATTAGAGATACGAAAAGATTACCCAATATAAAGTCATATTCCATGCGCTTAAACTGTACATAATATATGAATTTGATAGACATTCCACTTTGGGATATATTGAATGGTTAAAAAAAGCAATTGATACTAATTTTTCGCATATCCTATTGAACAAAATTTCGTTTGAGAAATGATAAAAAAATAAAAAAATTTTCAAGTAGTTGTCTTCAAACACTCGAATTTTATACACGAGCTGAATATTGAATATTTATGCAATATATGTTTATAATTTGCAGTTTACTTAAAAATATGCGAAATACGAACCGTTAATATATTACATTATTTCCACGGAAAAAATTTAGCAATAGCTGAATCTTAGGAAGCTATGATAATTGCAATAAGCAGTTATGCAAGGAGTTTAGGAGTTGCAAATGTTGCTTAACGGCTTACAGCAAAGTATTATACACAGTATATTTATATAGTAAATTGGATTCAAAGGTGTGTTCGTCCACATTGATTCTGTTATATTGTGTAACATTTTGTTCTCTTCTCAATAATATCTGAACACTCAACTGTTACATAATAATGCTTAACATAAAAGTATGTAGCTTTTCCAGTGGACTTTATTAGCTTCTCCTGTTGTTTATTCTGCGTGTGTTCCACTGATTACGCTGACCTGGCTCAATGCCAGAAAATGTTAAAGAACATTTGTGCCTTCTCAATTCTTTAACATTTTCTGCAAATGCTGTGAAATATCGCTACTCTTGAGGAACTGTTTGGTTAGCTTTAGGTAATAACATATGTATGTACGTAGGGCAGTTAGTAGTGGCAACCATAATTTTTAACAGAGTTGGTAAATTCGGAATGTTTCGGATTTCTTTACAATTTACAAATAAAACCAGTATTTTCAACTGTTAAACCTAGTTCTTATCAGGGTTGAAAATTTTTAATCCCGCAAATGTTAATTCAACTGTTTTTTAATGAACTTTTCACAATAATGGACCTGATGAAATAATTCTCTGCCACTTATTAACTTCTTTGCCTGCAGTTTCTATAAATTATTTGTTCTATTATATCCAATTTTCAACATTGTACACAACATTAAAAATATTATTGTATACATAACAAATACAATAAACCTATGATACACACCTGGATTTCATTGACCAGCTTGTCGCTGTTGTACTTGATGTCGGGTGTTGAGCTGCCCACGGATGGTGTCATTGAATGCTGTGGCGAATGTAGCGGTACAAGCGCGTTGCCACTGACACCGCTGTGCACGAGCGGAGGGCTACTGCGCCCTGTCCCCATTTCACGCTGTTGTCCATTCGATTGCTGTAGCTGCGATAGCGTTTGCGAAGGCAGTTGTTGGTGCTGCTGTTCCTGTTGCTGGTGATGTTCGTGTGTGCTATTATGAGGTCGTGATTGTGAATTTTGGGCATGCGTGTGCTGCTGATGCACACTACTGGAGCTGCTGAGACCGCTCACCGGTTGTGCTTTGAGCTGATTCTTGAAGGCATCAGTTTCATCAACGGCGCTGGTACTAGATGCTAAGTTCTGCTGTTGTAGTTGTTGCTGCAGCTGATGGTGCAACGCGTCGATGGCATTGTGCATATTCGGTTGGTATTTTGACTGTTGCTGTTGGTGTTGATTACTCGTTGCTACAGAAGCCGCCACTGCTTTCATTTCATGTTTGACGTTTATTCTAAGTGGTTCACTGCTTCCAGATGCATCGTTGCAACTGCTGTTGCGATTCCCGCTGACATTATTATTGCATACAGCTGAGCCATCATGTGTTGAGGGGCTATTGGTGGCAAGACCGCTGACAATTATGCCGTTGGTGACATTCTGCATTTCATTTGATTTAACAACTCCACTCAGGTGAACGGCCGCGGCCGCAGCGGCTGCTGCATTGAACAGTAAATGATGATTCTGATGATGTTGTTCGTGTGGCGGCAACGCTGGTAGCGTTGAAGATGACTGTTGGTGTTGTTGCTCATGATGAGGCACAGCCGCTATCGTCACATTGCTTAAATGAGGAGGTTGCTGCGTGTGCTGTGTTTGCACCGAAGGCTGGTTATGTTGTTGCTGGGCTGAATGCGATTGTTGTGGGTGATGTTGTTGAGGATTTTGTTGGTGATGGTGATGCAGTTGATTGGTGGCAAGTGCGGCGGCGGTATGGAGACCGAAAGGACCGCGCGCTTGCTGCCAAAATTCGGCGTCCATTTTGAATAGTTGGGAGCGATGCTGGTGAAATAATTGCTGATGCTGCTCGTTTTCTATTTGTTGTTGTAGTTGGTGCTGGCTGTGTTGTACGTACCCCTCTTCGTGATGTTCGTGCTGGTGCGAGTGATAGCTTTGGTTTTGATGTTGGTTGGTATGCAATTGATGGAAGTGATGTTGTTGTTTTTCGTGTTGTTGCTGTTGTACGACCGATGTCATTTGGGCATGCAATGCAGCGGCCAAAGTGGATGATACTGGCGGTATATTGAGCGCATTGGGTAGTAAGACCTCCCCGATCGATGGAATTCTCGGTATTGGTATCTGCAGCTGGGATATGGTACTTTCGTCTATCGCTTCTAACGACTTTTCTGTTGCTACCTTACCAAAGTTGCTGTCGTCGTTGGACTCCGCTTTATCTACTGCGTTTGCTTCCACGGCCGCCGCCGCTGACACTATGTCGGCGCTTACGTCAAGCGTTGACACGCTAATCTTGTCCTCGGTCGTCTTCGCCGTTTTTACTTTAATGCGTTGCTGGATGTCTATACTTGACTTTTTTGCTGTTGATTCAGTTGATACTATTGTTTTTTCTATTGGTAATAACTGTGTTGGTGCCTCTTCTAACGCCGCCGCCACCTGCGCCGCCACCGCCGCCACTTGTTCCTCGGCGGTTATGATGGCTGCAGTGGCACGAAAATCAAAATTGGATTCTATTGCAAGCTTTAATTGCTGCAGCAGCCACTGATCAATGTTTTGTGTGTGAGTTCCATGTAGTTGTTGTTGTGCTATTTGACCCAGTGTGGCTATCAATGTGGCGAGTCACTCGAGTCGTGGATTAAACGCTCGCATGCGTTGTAGTTACAGATGTTGTTCTCAGTGAAACAATTATATAACTAACCTATGGTATAGTAATTCGTTAATGTTTTTGTGTACGGATTTTTCCAAAATATCAAGTCTTTCAGCACACAATATTTCGTTATAAATATACTTTGATTTGGCTGTATTAGTATTAAAGATCATCTGTGAGATCTACTACTTGTAAGTCGTTTTTAGATAGTATGTATCTTTAGATTATTCGATTATGCTTTGTTTGATTTCAGTATATTAGTTGGTTGATTTATTCTAGTATTTGTTGAGTGTTGTTTCCAATTAATGAAGTACTTATATTCTCTTCATGTATCTTCGTCGTTCGGCGTGTATCTCTTTAATAAATCTAGCGTACTTTTAGAATGATAAAAAATACATGATTTTTTTTTAATCTTAACATTCATTTAACGCACAAATTGAGAAATTTGCGAAATTGAGCTAAACTGTCGTTTATTTATACATATAAATGAGTCTAAAGATATTGAAAAATAAAGTAAAACAATTAAGGAAAAGCTAAGTCCGGAGCAACCGAACATTTTATATTCTTGCAACTTGCAAGAATCAAAATCAGTGAAATAGTTTCAGGTGTGAAACCAATCATATAGAGTAAAGTCAGCCAGATGTTCCAAAATCTTTAAGGCAAGTTGCATGAGTTTAAAATGTTCAGTTACACTCGAACTTAGCCCTTTCTTAATTGTTTTAACTTTTTTGTTTTTAATAGTAAATTAAAATCAGTAAACAAAAAATTAAATTTCGTAATTTTATCTAAAATCATCATAATTAAGAATAAATATTTGCAGTCAGCCAATTAATGAAAATTAAGTTTCTCATATTTTAGATATCGAATATTTTATAATATTTTCATCGATGTATTTTCGATGGGTAATGTAAACTTAAAGATCAAGTTGCATGTACAAGTACAAATGAAAATTCTGAAAAACGCAATTAACGTCTTCATGCTAATAAAAAAAAGCAACGAAAGGGACGTCAACGGGTGACCAACGTTTACAGAGAACGTAACCAACGCCGCGGTGAGACGAACATCACATATCGTGTCGCGTTTGCACTTTGCTTAATTGTTAATATGACACACGCTCAAACAACCACAATTTGTGGCTTGGATTTAGAAAATTAACGCTTTGTTGTTGTTACGGTCAATTATACGTAGTGTTTCTCAGAATTGGAAAACCATCGAGATTGTTTGGGTATAATTCTCAAGGATTACCGAAAATATTGTACATCCAAAGACATTACGATAAATAAAGTTTAAATTTAAACTATTTCGCCTTTTTTGTTTAAATGGTTTAAGTTTTTATTTAACAGTAACCTTCACATTTCATTTCGCTCATAGTACGATTATACACAGACTTTCACGGTTGGTCAAATTGCGTTCGATATCGTAATACTTCCTAGTAAAAATGGTCATAATTATTCATACTGAATAAATATTTACTTGTACACATGTAGATTATTATATTAAATATATTTATCTTTATACAGTTTAATACACGGTCCGGCACTCTGGCCGCACTGGAATCAGCTGTTGTATTGCCCACAAGCGTACAAAAGCGTTTTGACAAAAGTGAATGCAAAAAAAGTGATCAACGATGGAATTCAAACGTAATGTGTGATTGCTTTATATTTGCTGAAAAATCACAGCCAGCAATTGTTCGTAAGCTCAAACGCCTGAATGTGAATAAAGTTTTTGTTTATCGCACCATCACTCGTTACAATGATACTGGTACAATCGCAAAACGTAATGGAGGTGGTCACCAAAAAACTGCAACGTCACGTGAGATGGTTCGGAAAGTGAAGAAGCGACTTGAGCGAAGAAGTGAGTGATGCGTATGCCGCAACGCCAGGCCGATAAATATAAGATCTAAAAAAATGTTTGCCCTCAGCCACGTTTACATGCGGCAAAGTGTCGAAAAAGAGCGTTTAGAGCTCGAATTTGTCACAGGAAGTGTGTTGAAATTTGACTCATTTCCCCCTCTGAATCCGCCACTGAATCAGTTCATGAATACCTTAAAAGCATCATTTTTATTTTATGGCACCATAATTTATATATATAAATGTTACGTGTCACGTTTTCTCTGGGGTAAATTCCAATTTTAGTAAAATTTGGCACATTGTGTCCAGTTTGAGCTAACTTAAAAAATATTTTCTTAGCTTACAAGTATATCGTAATTACGTTAATAGTAAAACAAATCATAAATAAAATAAAAGAATTTTTATAAAAATAACCATTCTTTCAAAATTGAAAAAAAATATAAATATTGTATGAATAAAATGTCAAATGGAAAATTCATTATTTTTGCATTGAAAAATATTTGCATCAATAATTTTTTCCTTTATTACTAAATAATATCTTAACTGAATTAAAAAGTTTTTATGATTGTATTTAATGTATAGCCTATACGCTGCAAAGTATGTACATATATGAATATCTTTGACATCTATATCTGTTTAAAAGAGTAAAACTAATTACTAAATATCGAAACTATGCATTCATGTAATTATATTGTGATAAATTAAAATATTTTATTTCTAATGTATGTAAATACAAAGTATACGCTTTTATTTTTATCTTTGGTGTATTTTCAAGGTACAGTGGTCGTCCATATAACAAATTTTGAACTCCATATTTTGAGGATTTGCCCACTACTTAACGTTGAAAATTTCGAGCACTCATTTTCTTACATAATGTTCAAGTGTCAAGAAACAAAGAACCTCTCGAGGTAATGAAAATATAGCTACCATTCAGGTAGGATTTCTAGATGTTCTCAAGAATTGGGAACTCCCACATTTGAGAAAGAATTTACATCCGTATAAAATTGTGAACCTTGAAAATCGTAATGATTTAAAATAAAATCATCTTCTTTAATGAGACTGACTTTCAAATAAAATTGTGGTAAATAAGCAAAACTTTTAATCCTGGTGCGAAGAAAATTCACAAATTATTTATAAACAAACATTAAATTCACCGAAATTGACAGTCTGGTGTGGATTTTGGAATGGTGGAATCATCGGTCCATACTTCTTTGGAAATAAAGCTGGTAACACCGTTACTGTCCATAGAAAGCGGTATAGATCGAATATAATCAACTTTTATGGAAGCAATTGGAAGAAGTTGATCTTGATGACTTCTGTTTCGAACAAGACGAGGCTACTTATCACATAGCACGTGCTACAAGCGAATTATTTCGAGAAAAGTTTGGAGATTTGATTATTTCAAGAAATCGTGACATAGAAAGTTGTGATTTAACACCATTAGACTACTTCTTGTGGGGTTATTTGAAGTCATTGGCCTTTAGCTATAAACCAGAACCTCTTCAAGCTTTAGAACTCAATGTTGAACGTAAGTATAACGTAGAAAAAGTACTTGAAAACTGGGTTCACCGAATTAGTGAAGAAGTGAAGAAAGAAGAAGAAGATTAGGAAGCCGTTGAGGCCATTTAAATGAGTTATATTTAGAATTGCTTGCATTGATTGCACTTCACATTATGGAAACTTAAACAAATTTCATTTTATTGACTCATTTTCTATAGATATTGTACAACAATTAAACGTTAGACACGTTATCAATAATATATCTTTGATTTGTTAAAACGATAATTCGTTATTTCGAGAGCTTGTTATATTGAAGGACCACTGTATTTCTAGTTTTTGACAATTGGCCATAGTTAACATACTATGTACATACCATTTGATGAATACTTACTTATTCACATTTAATGTGATTATAACAATACAAATATTCCAAATAAAGTAAAAAACGTAGATGCTTTAAAATATATACTTATAAATATTCGCTATATTCGCCAATTCAAAAGTGATGCGATAAATTTACATACTTAAAGGGAAATATAAAGCTATTTTGCAATAATTCGGAAAATATGTGGATATTTTTCATATATCAACATTATTCGCATAAATAATTCTGAAAAAAAAAAATCGAAATAGCGTTGGACTCAGAAATCACCTTCATTCAAAATTTGTGTCTATTAATTTTATGGCTATACTGTGATTTTACAGAGATAGCCATAAGTATGTATTTTTTATATGAATAATGTATCCACAACAAGATTTCAGAGAAATTTGCATAAATATTGCTTAAATATATTAAAATAACATCCCAAAAAATATATACATATATTATCTTTCGTGTCGTATTTTTAAAATCACTCATAACACACTCCACTTCATACAGTCTGCAAAGCAATACGAGTAAGAACATGGGTTGATTTAATAGGTTAAGTAAACGGCTGAATAATTATAACGACTATGACAGTGTGGGCCAATTGACCAATAACAGTGACCCCACCCCACTATGTACATGCGTATATACGTAACATGCTTTACAAAATCTATACCCATGCAAGCATTTATTTAGCCGCCAATATTCAATGCCAATTGTTTTTTTATTTGTACGAAAATCCTACGCCGAGCAATCGGTTAATGATCAAATACTAATGGTCAAACAGGAAAGGCGTTATGGTTGGGGCCAACTGTGTGACCAACGACGACTCGATTTATTTTCTTGCTTTTTTTATGTCAATGGTGTTTATGCTTATATAAATTTTTTTTGATTTAATTAGTGTGTAAAGCACTGATTGATCAACCTATCGATACAAGAGTTAAAACTCCCACCCACTAAAACTTTTCTTAATGCGAAACTAACGCAGTTGTAGCTAATAAAAACCTTTGTAGTTGTAATTAAAGTTGAACTTGTAAGACGTTAAACGGTTATCAAAAAATGATTCGTGATTCGCGCTTTCTAATTGACCGACTACCGTTTCTATTCGCGATACTG